CTGTCTAATTTTGCTTGCTTCGCTGTCAGTCGAACAAACGAAGACTAGAGCGTGAATGACGCTCTGTATACGATTTTAACGCCCTATAAGTTCGGACACTTTTTAACGCGGACCCGACGTCCATATAATTGGAAGTCAATGTATAATGTTATTAATTTTTTTTACGGAAGTAGAGACATGCAGCTCAATTTTGTGATTGCCTCTCCCGATCGGAAACTTTTGACATTTCTAATCGGAACAATAGCTGATTTAACTCACAAATTAAAAAGATATAGTAGGAATCAGGTTCATCTTCTCGCTTGGAAACCCATCTGATTTCGAAACTACCCGATCGGTTCGATTCCGGTTTGTATCAAAATCAACATGCTGGCGACTTGAGTCAAAGTCAAAGTTAAAGATTATTTATTCCATAGGTAAAATAAATTTACACTTGAAAACGTCACATTTAAGCTACTGCTCGTTCACTACGCTGACCTCCCAGAGAAGGACGAGCAAGAAACTCTAGGGGTTGCTCTTTTCAAATAAACTTAAATGCTATGGAATACACTTCGAGTCAAATTTGTGTGGATTCTGGAGCCGTGTCGTCTTTCCATACATCTTTATCTAACACGTAGTCTTCAATTTTGTAATATGATTTTTCAATCAAAATATTTTTAATGTACAGAAAAAATTCCTTCGATCCGGCCGGATTCGAACCGACGTCTTCTAGCTTACCGTGCCAGACGGTATACCAACTAAGCCACGGAACGAACCAGCGGACCTCACGAACTAAAAAGTCGTTGAAAAACCAAATACAAAGACACGACCCAAGGACATAGAAAAATTCGTGAGGTCCGCTGGTTCGTTCCGTGGCTTGTTGGTATAGCGTCTGGCACGGTAAGCTAGAAGACGAAAGTTCGAAGGAATATTTTCTGAGTGTTCGATCTTTGTATTAATAACTATAACAAACTGGTGGAGTAATTTCACAAAAAAATAATTGAATATCAATTCAATAAAAAATATTTTTAATGTACTTTTTAAACTTAGGAAATGATAAACTTAATATATGCTCCGGAATCTTATTGTAAAAACGTATACAGTTCCCCATGAAAGAGTCGTTTACCTTGGTTGAAATACAGAATCAATATAATAATATAATTACTTTAGGCACCAGTCACTGTAAACATTGTTGGACTACAACATATACCTATCAAGCAATGTATTGTATGTAAATTTTGTAGAGAAAATAAAGATTACTATATTATATTTTTCTCCAACACGAAATATAACCTTTGAACACTTGATGTGAAGTATTTTATCAACGAAGTACTCCGCGTTATCAAAACGCTATTTGCTGTTTGGTACAAAAAAGATGTTATTAATATGTATATCCGATTCTTCGCTCGACAGTGGTGCTGTCGCTCGTGCATTCATTCGATCAGTCAGGTCAGTGTACGTTTCGTTCATCAGTGTACAGTGGAACGTCGCCATGGCTGTGCGTGTGTTACGGACTAGTGGTTTATTTTTATTATTATTTTTAATTAAGAACACGCACACCGTGTCCCCACCATGGATATTGTCCGTTCGTGTATTAAATTCTAATTGTGCTGTTAATTGTGATTATGAGTTAAATGTGAGTGGAAATTTTGAGGAGTGGTCGGTAACCTCACAATTGAACGAATGTACACCAATGTTTATTGGTAAAGAAAGAATACAAGTACCGAATATTAAACTTTATTTCTGTGCGAGAAATGATGGACGCTGGTTGCACCAAGGAGACAAATTGTATTTGGAGAATGGTGATGTCATTCGTCCTGGCCGGTAAGTTTTCGTCCCACATTCGAAATTATATAAAAAAAATTAAAACAAGCAAGGCGGGAATTTTTGTATGTATTTTTGGCGACCTAGTTTCCGTGTTATGTAATTTTAATCCGCTGCTGTTATAAAACTACAAATTTAGTGGTAATCTAATCTTAAAATCTGTGAAATATAGTGATGGTTCCAGATTCGAGGTATTAAGATTTAAAATTATTAAAATATAGTTTAATCACATGATTCAGTCATATTATGAGAGGCCTATTGACATTATCATGCGAAATTATATATTTGTTATTTTGTTACTTCATTCGCTGATAAATTGCAATAAATGTATTCTAATCTAAAAATCTGTGAATAAAATAAATGAAGATTGCAAAATCGAAGGATTAAGGTTTTAAAATGATTATATATTTATTATTTCAATCACGTGGGTAGGCTTTGTGTGCGTCATCCCAGCCGGCAGTCGGGTGGTTTTTTGCGATGATTCACGGTCGTACTTCATAATTGCAGCTTGTAGCTTATTGACATATACTTGTGAAATAATTCGCTGAAATAATGCGATAAATTTAGAATTACTCTGTGAAATATGAATGAAGTTTTGAAATCGAGGAATTAGGTTTTAAATTAATTGAAATTTATTATCGATTGTAATAGGTACTGTTTTTTTGGATCTGTATCGCGTATGTGAACCGATTGTTGATGATTCTTCCTTTGTTGGAAAGGGAGTACCTCAATGGCAGTCCCATTCAAATTTGAAGAAAATATCTCACCTCCAAAAATGGCAAATTAAGGAACGAGTACTGTTTGTTGCATTTCCCCCAACTTTCCGTTAGCTAATTTTATTATAACTTTTGAGATCTGTTTTTTTAAATAAAAAAAGTTACGATTATTATGTATAAAGTAGACGGAGGGTCGTATTCTAGAAGTCTACTCAATGCTCAAGTCAGAATTTGAGCAGACTTGAGTATGATTTTCAGTGCTCACTGCAATACTCAAGTCCTGACTTGAGTATGATTTCAAGTACTGGAAATACGACTCTAATGACATGGACTTGAGTATGATTTCGAGTGCTTTAAACCATACTCAAATCCTGACTTGAGCTTTGAGTAGAGTTCTAGAATACGACCCTGTGTGTTCATTTTGCATTTGTTTAAATATTGACTGCCCCAGCAAGCCTTTAACTGCCTCCGTGGCCGAACAGTTACCATGTCGGACTGCCACGCAGAGGTCCCAGGTTCGATTCCCGGGCCGGGAGAAATGTTTGTATGGCCTATATTTATTTCTCTCGTGAGTTTGGGTGTAATTTGTGGTTGTCTATGTGTGTGTCCATGGCACCCGCGACACAGGGTTTCCCTAGTGCGGGGCTATGTTGAGTGTGTGCGTTATTATTTTATTTAAAAAGCATGCATTCAGTCAAAACTGCACTCAAGTATGATTTTTTTATTATCCAGCTTGATTTCGTTTTACGCACAATTTTATAAATTTTTTTTATTATGTATTTGTATGAATGGAACGAAAATCCATAGTTTTGCCATTCGTTTCCGTATTTCCGTTGGTGGAGCCAAAATCCTGCGCAATTAGGGATGAATAAGTAGGTATGTCGGGCATCACTGTGCGCATCTTTACCGAACTTCAAAGTCGAACGGTTTTTTGCAATGATTCACGGTCATACTACATAACTGCAGCCAATAGCCTATTGGCATATATGTACTTGTAAAGTTATGTGATATATTTGTTGTTATGTCTTAACTGCTCAATTTGCACTGCGATATATCGATTTAAGAAAGAAAAGGCGTAAAGGCCAATTCTAACATCCATGAAATTTGGGTCAAATTTTCATGGTCTTATGATCTGTTGACAAAAAAGTTTGTTACTCGTCAAGTATAGCATTATTGCAGAGACCGGGACGTAAGGTATTGCTAGACGAGAATCACACAATAGTTACAAAATAAAATGCCTTGTATTAATACGAAATCCCAAACAATGTGAGGAAATAATAGAAGACTAAAGAGATAGAAAACATTTTTTTTTGAGTGTTCGATCTTTGTATTGATGATTACAACAAACTAGTGGAGTAATTTCACAAATAATAATTGAATATCAATTCAATAAAAAATTAAAATACAGTGAATAGCGACATCTCTCGCCAGGACTAGTAGCTGTAAAGGTACTAACTGGGTGATAAATCTTTCATAGGTTACTCATAGATGGCGCTACGACTAAAAAGTCGTTGAAAAACCAAATACAAAGACACGACTCAAGCACATAGAAAAATTCGTTGGGTCCGTTGGTTCGTTCCGTGGCTTAGTTGGTATAGCGTCTGGCACGGTATGCAAGAAGACGTCAGTTCGAATCCGACCGGATCGAAGGAATTTTTTCTGAGTGTTCAATCTTTGTATTAATGATTACAACAAACTAGTGGAGTAATTTCACAAAAAATAATTGAATATCAATTCAATAAAAATTTAATCACGCATCTTAAATGACAAACTTTCCGTGTTCGTTTTTTGAAAGTAATGCAAATATTTCCGAGCATGTTTGCATAATAGTACATTATTGCAAAAGCTGGACGAGTGTGTGTTATAAAGACGAGCGCCAGCGAGACTTGTATGAATACGAGTCAAGCAATCCCCGTTCCCGCCGAGGCATGTATAGAATTTTTCTCAAACAATGTGAGGAAATAATAAAAGACTAAAGAGAGGAAAATCTATAATAGAAAAAGTTAAAAAATATTAATTAATATTGACGTTACAATATAAAGCATGATCAAAAGCTAATTATATAAATAATAAAATAGAGTTAATTATATTTGTCGAAATGTAAATTATGGATGATTAATTCGAGCTTTACATGCTAACGGAGCTTCTTTTTTTTTATTTGTGTTTATCTTCATATTGGACGAGGAATTTATTATGAATCATTTAATTTAAAAATAACGTGAATAGAAGGAGTTATTATTTTATTCTTATTTATAGCAACAGCATTTTTAGGTTATGTCCTTCCTTGAAGACAAATATCTTTTTGAGGGGCAACAGTTATTACCAATCTTCTATCTGCAATTCCCTATTTAGGAACTATATATTAGTAAATTGAATTTGAGGGGGATTTGCTCATGCTTTTGATGAATAAGTAAAATTTGACGTGCTAGGACAATTGCTAAAGGAAAATGTTATTGTTTTTCCAGGTACATTTATAATAGTCGTCTGCTCAACTCCTGATGTTATGTTTGAATGTGTATATAGTTATTACTGTATTTTCGTTATCGCTTACTAGCGCTCATTTTCGCGACCATAATACAAAAAAGACGAAAAGACAATAGAATACTAAAACCATTGACTTACAAATAAATGGACGACGGGTCTAATACAAAAACTACGAAAAAAATGTCCCAAGTCAACCTATTCGAAATTTAAATTGTAATGTCATCGCAGTATCGCGCTGTCAGTAGAACAAATGAAGACTAAAGCGGAGTGTCGCGCTCTGTATACGATTTTAGCGCCTTACAAGTGCGGACACTTTTTAGCGCGGACCCGACGTCCATATAATTGTAAGTCAATGACTAAAACACATTAGTTTATGTGTTGCCGCCATTTTCTTTTTTTTTTTAAGTAAGCGGTAAAGGTAGGTATTTTTAATTCTCGCAACTATGAACACTAGGCAGTTGGCTGTATGAGTTTCTCTTTTACCTGTTTGATGATATTGAAAAGTTTGGAGAAATTTACATTATTAGATTTTCATACATATTTTGCAGGCTTTGACCAGGAAGAAGTCGCATGACAAACTTTCCGTGTTCGCTTTTTGAAAGTAATGCAAACATTTCCGAGCATATTTGAAAAAATGGTTTTTACGTAAATGTATATTTATTAGAATAGCTTCGATTTATAAAAACACAATGCAGTAATAACCAAAACGTTTATATGCTAATTTCTTATAATACATACATATTTGATACGCTAGGTTAGCTTTAGAAATTAGTTTGCTAATGCTATCGTAAAAGATGTCAGCATCCCGGACCTCAGCGACCAGACAATTTAGCAACGTGAGACCACGTTTCATGGGCGCGTGTTGTCAGCACGGCAAGTGTGCCGCACGGGGGGCGCAAACAATTGAAGTCGGCGTCGACCCGTGCGGACCCCTCGGCACAATTAGTCTGCTTTCCCGATATGGACTTAATTTTTCCAACAAAAAAGAATCATCAAAAATCGGTTCACAAATGCCGAAGTAATCGCGCAACATGCATACAAAAAAAATACAATCGAATTGAGAAACTCCTCGTTTTTTGAAGTCGGTTAAAAATATATAAAAAATGAAGTTCATTTCCCTTGTCATTTATAAATACAATTGTTTTATATTGCATTGTATTAGGGATTTTGTACCATATGCATAAAATTTTTAATTCGGCCGTTTCGGAATGACCACTTTCTAAGTTGTAAACTCAGAAATAGCAATGACCTGCCGGCTGGAGCGTGTCGCTCACATTGAACTCGTTTTATAACTTTTCTGTTTTAAGTGAGTTTTTTCTAGATATGCGCCGAGTACAAATTTGACAGAGTAACCGAGTACCGAATATTACTCGGTTTAACATTAGCCGAGCTGCGTACTCGGCCGAGTTTCTCGGTACATTGAAACCGGAACGCGATGATCCTAAAAGTCCCATTGCTCTAGAATTAGACCGATATGTCAATGAAAGTTTATTGTCGCGTGAGCTGAGTCCTATATCCTAAACTGGCACAGTTAGCACGAGTGTTTTTATGTGCATCTGCAAGCACTGTGCATAGCGAGCGCTTTTTTTACGATGCGGGTAATGTGTATGAAGAAAAAAGGAACAGACTATTACCTGAACGCGCAGAAAGCGCTGTATTCCTACATCATTACTTGCCTTTGTTAAATTTGAAATATTAATCATGTAAACTTTCTTTCTAAATTACTAAATTGCTACAAATTGTCTAGAATTTCTAGTAATAAATCTCTTTTGATTATTTTAAATATATTGTTGGTTTTAC